CTGGTAATAGTACAGCAGCCACTAGTAAAGAAAACAACAAAGCCCAGAATGCAGGGGAGGTGGTATGCAGGATACTAATAGGGGAGGCAGCTGGTAGGGGGCAGGCTGGTAGAGGGGAGGGCTGGTAGAGGGGAGGGCTGGTAGGGGTGTAGTAAAGGGAGAGCAGCTGGCTGCTGTATTTATTACTCAGAATCTCAGGATAGAATCTGGTCAGTGTTGCTTACTTGGTATGCAATCTGGACCTGATACTTCCTTGCTTAAGTACTAGGATGTACAGGAGGCAACCAGACTCGGCACCTAAGTACCAGATGCACAGGACACACTGGATGCAGAATCCTCCCTGCTTGCATCAGGATGTACTGCTCATGTGTCTGATGCAGGATTTATTTTCACTGATGTATACTTTTATATGAAAAACCTTTAAGGTTTTATATAGTATGTACTAATTTAAAACAATTATTGTAAAAGCTAAAAATAGAATATATTCTGAAATGAAAAAATAGTATTTTTCTGAAAATATGGCTGCTTGGTAAAATCAACACTTTTATAAAATACTCTTCTACTCTACTAGAAACAATTATATCAAGTAGAATTATACTTAATTGACAAGAAATTACTATATAGCTTTAGTGTTAATACTGACAAAGCTTTCATTAGTAGGTTATTTGTTAGTAGCTATTATTCATACTTTTGTCATTTACTTTTTTCTTGAAATTATTTAAAGTGTAAAGATAAAAGAACTTAGATAGATATATAAGAAATAAATAAATATCAAGTACAGTATCTATAGTCTAAATTTTGTTTATAGAAGCTATTAGATTTATTATATCTTTATCTACCTTATATTAAATTTTCAATTTTTATAGTATGATATGCAGGACCTAATTTAAATATATTCAAATAGTAAAAAAATTTGCATTAAAGTAGAAAAATTGCAATTTTTATGGCATGCCTTACAGGGCCTAATATACTAAAAAATATGCCATAAAAGTAATATACTAACCAGAGCCTTAAATATATCTTGGTTGATTTAGAGAAAATATTTTAGGATCAGTATTATAGTATTGGTTCAATACCTAAAAGCTCCCAGAAGCTTAAAAACAAACTATCTTGAGAATTGTTACTAGTTTAGAACACAACTTCCAACAAATTTTTTATATACAGTTGTAGAGGTCAATGTCAGACTAGAACTATAGTATTATTTAGGTACTCGTGCCTCCGCGCCAAGAGTTGGCACCTCTTTTGGAATAGCCTCCATGGGACTGTAGAGAGTGTAGTGTTGAGGCTGCTCTTGTAGCATGAGGGATTGCACTCTGCGACTGCTGTGCCAGCAGCCACTCCCACTCATTATGTGGCACTGTATTTTGTGTCACTGGTAATAGAGTCTTTGAGATGGCTCAAATGCTAAATTTTTTATGGCTCCGAGGGGACTATTCCAAAAGAGGTGCCAATTCTTGGCTCGGAGGCACGAGTAAAAGGATAGCATACTAGATACTAGTAGTTACTTTTTTCTGTTTTTTTCCTCCTCCTCTTTCCCCCCAGATCCATTTATCATGGCTAGTCCGGAAATTTATTTTGTTTCACCCTTTATCAATTGAAGCTTTGATTGCTCCATTCTTCCAATTCTGCATTTGTTTACTCATTGCCATTGCGGTGAAAATTCACAACCGCCAAGACTTTTGGGCCGGGACTTTACCTATCATCAAAAAGAAAAAAGTACCCTTCCCTTTCCCTTCCCTTGAAGCGGTGATAGGGAATCGCTGTTATCATGCTATCATATCATAAAAATCTAGTCCCTATCCATTCATCGAGCTCGGGAGTGGAGATCCTTTCCGGCGCACTCAGCACCCCGCAATCAAGCATCCCCATTTCACCGCTGATATGGTATCGCATCATTTCATACGAAGGAGCATCCCCGCCGGGGGACCTTACTCCGTCGGCCTCGCCTGGAAGGGATGGAGGGAGAGGAAGGTCGCTAGAAGCTGATTGGCCATCATATCGTATCATATCGATCGGCACAGTAATGGGTTCGGGTGTAGAACGTGGTTCTACCGTTTTCCCGCTTCCAGTACTTTGGCCTATCGTATACTTGCAGCGTATACCGGTAGACTATAGGCCTCTCTCCCTCTCTCTCTCTTCCTTCACACCTTATCGGTAGGGGAGTCTAGAAGCTCTACGGGTTGATCCGCTATCAGCCTCATGGCTCCTGATTACTCGTAGTTGGTTACCCAAAGGGGGGGGGTTGCTCGATGGATGGTACCGTACAGTTACAGTACGGTAGCGGTAGCGGCTATTCATCCCTTTGGCTCAAGGACCCTCGTCGGCTGCCGGGGAGAAAATAGGGTACGGTGCTGTCTCACCAAGGGCGGGTCCCAAGCCACTTCGCTTTTTTGTGATCGGGAATTTTCGACGAAAGGGTGCGATTTAAGGGTGTGTGTGGGGGAAGGTGGGGGGGAATCGTGCAGCACTGTACCGCAATACCACCCTCGACATGACATGTTACAAGGTTACAAGTAGAGTACTGCTACAGCACTCTACAGCATCATACAAATTCCCAGTTCTTAATGAACAGCCAACCTCTTACCAAACCCTTCAGGGTAGTCTACGTGTACAGTACCTCTCTCTCTCTCTCTCTATCGTTACACGCGCCGTTACAGTTCAGTTCAGTACAGTACTTGTCACCTAGGCCCCCCAAGCCCGAGGGTTATGAGTCGGGCGCATCACCGGGCCCTAGTCTATCCCCGCACCCACTAATTCATTCATTCACTCATTCATCCACCCTTCCACATCGATCGCTCGGTCCCATGATGCCCGTTCGTGCATACGGCACTCGAATACATGCATACCGGTAGCAAATTGGGTACACACATGTATACATAACATACACAAGCAATTGTAACCCAAACCAACCCCGCTCGGGGAAACTACAGTACTGTACAGTTTACAGTAACTCTCCGCTACGAGATGTACGTACGTACGATACAAACACACGCTCCCCCCTCGCGCTGGGCAAGGAAGTACACGAGAACAAGGATAGGATTAGCGGAGTCTCCAGGCGCTCAGATACAGTACTGTAAAAACTCGGATTCTTCACCATGTACTCTCTTTTTTTCTTCCACGGATCCTTGTTTCCGGGTATGACGACGATAATGACGATGGCGATGATACTCTGTATATACTTCTTACCCGCTACGAGCACTTGTATCATACTGGTACTGGTACGAGTGCGTGCCATCCCCAGTCTTGTGCGGGGTGCGTAGATAGATGTCCGGACGATATCCCGCTTCTCTGTAGAAGGTATCATAGCAGCACTTATCTCGCGGTGCGGGAATATCCGGGTTTGGAGTACGGTACCGCACTGTACTGTACCGTACTCGTACCGTACTGCAGACCATTTCATGTGCCGCTCCGTTGCTATCGGCTGGGGTGGGACTCATGAGCCTCGGCTCGTTTATTGCCCGTCCACGTGAGAGGGAGATGTTAACTTATCAGTATGATGATACCATATACCGTAGTATGATCGGTACCGCTAACAGGAGAGGAAACAAAAAGAGATATCATCATGATATGTAAAAATTAAAAATAAAACTAAAAATAAAATGGAAGGGCTCGGGCCGAGAGATTTTGAACTCCGCATTGTTTCGGCATAGCATGCATGATTGAGCACTCTACAAGTACGATACCCGTAAATTACACACGGGGGAAGGAAGCATATCAAAGCAAAGAATGAATTCATGAATGAAGCGACTTGACCGGGAGCACCACTTAGCACAACGGGACAAGCGAGAACAAGTACCGATACATGCCATTACCATGCCAGCATGGTTAGCGGCACCGGTGCAGTACCGGTATGATACTGGCAGGACAAAATAAGATGCACCGGTGTCATGTCAGCATTTCTCATCTCGAGTACGAGTATGATGCATAGTCTACTTGTGGTAGTTTACTCACCGTACGTATACCACGATTATATCCTACAAATATCATACCCGCACAAGTAACAATAACAATACGGTACCGCAACTCAATCCCATTCTCCGTGGCTCTTTCGAGGGCGTGTCATGGAAAAACGGTCCGGAGGTCAATCTAACCCGTATAGACCGTACGGTACTGTACTGTACTGTACCATCATAGTACTGTACGAGTACAATATGTACCGTACCGATACGGGAATGATATGATACGGTATCATACTCGTACACACTGACTGACTGACTGGCTGGCTGGCTGGCTCCGTGTGCAACCTATGGTACCGGTACAAGCACAGTACCGTACTATACTGTACCACACTGAAATACCCAGTACCTAACCATCCAGTACCGCACAAAACAGCACAGCATCACGACACCTCAATTCAAACATACCCCCCCCTTCCCCCCCGCTCATATTATCACCACTTATATACTGTATATATATGCACAAATACAGTACCAAGAAGTGAAAAAGAGACCCCACCCCCAACCCTCCGCAAGTTTGCGAAATACAAAGTACAGTACTTATGGCACTTGTCTTCATTACACCCGGAGGAATCTCCGTTTCTCCAAGCTAACTGATGTAACTAACCCAGCCAGACTAACCAACCAGCCAGATGTCAACCCCTCAATTGCCGAGATAATGCGACAGAGTGAGAGAGAGAGGAAAAAATCTGCCGTGGGGACGGGGGGGGGCTGTTCCGCCATCGACTTTGGGTCGGCGTGGATTCCGGTTATTTACGGTTATTGGCAGTCTAATGAATTTTTCGGGGTATGGATGGGATAGGATGGTGATTGTGGCATGGTGGCGGCGTGGATTGTGCTGAGACGTATGGTACCATACTTGTAACGTAATATACGGGGCACCTACCGTACGTGGGGAGGAAGGAATGATTGCGGCTTGGTGCTCGGGGAGGGGAGGGGAGGGCGGGCCATCGTGCGGTGGGATTCCGAGAAGGGGCGGCGGGGAAGGACTATTATGGTGGCGGTTAATTATAACCGTTACTTGTACGAGTACTCGAGCACCTTTAGGCCGCCCGTGGGTATGAATACATTATGATACTTTCCCGCTTTCTTTCCATTTAATCTAGCCCGGCGCCTCTATCCAAATATTCTAGATGGGTATATAGTTATCGGCGGGCGGCCTGACAATGGACATAATCCCTCCTCCCTTCCCTTCCCATCCCTTCCCTGAGAATTGAGAATAATCCCTGGCCCCCCTCCGCCTCCATCACGACTAATTACTCGAGTACTAGTATAAGTGAGCACCACTTTCCGAAATCCGAGTGATGACTTGTGCATACGCTGGCAAGAAACTCCTCAAAAGCGTCAAGACTGGTATCGTATTATAATCGCAAGCTGTGATGCATACGGTGTAGTACTTCTCGCTTCTTGTCTTGCTGCTGATGCCCATCGGTTTCAGTAGACTACAGTACGGTTCGGTGAGCATGTATGGTGGACTGCGGTGAGTTAGGTTGCGCACGGACGAACAGACGGACGGGCCCGCGTGCCGTAAAGAACAGATTGCAAGTTTGATTGGAGGTTACCCTGCCCAGCTCGAGTTTGGCCTAAAACCAGCCTTATTCATCATACGATGGGATATCTATATCAAACGTACTGCGGATAGATAGATGCGATACTGTAACTTGTAATTTAGGTCTTACGCGCTCACAATGCGAGAGTGACTAGAGCATCAGCAGCGGCAATAAAGTGAAATTCTATGGAAAAACATTATTTTGACAGCTAAAAATTGGATGGAGTACAGTACAGTATTTTGTGACTTTTTTTTGGGCGGGGGGGGAGTAAATGGAAAGCAATTGAGCGGGAATGCAATAGTGAAGAATGAAATTGAGAGTGAACGGTTGAATGAAAAAGAAGAGTAAAAGGTGAGGCTACCGGACCTTTGGTATTAGGTAGTCCGGCGAAAAGGAAAACAAGCAAGAAAGACAATAGCAGGTCGAAAGGAAAAACCGTGATATACCCATCCATCCGTCCACCCATCCAATCCTTTTTCAACAATCCCAGGGCAATCCACCTGTGAGCAGTAGAGCCCAGCAGGTCATCATTGTAGTCATCAACGTCATTACCGTAAAAAAAAAAAACTTCCCCCCCTCTATAACCACCTCCCCATCCCACAGAAAGCGCTTCTAATAGTCATATCTCGGCCTTTCAAACCCGGCACCGGCACCCCCCATCCCTCCTGCTCCCCCACCGCCTGGTCCCTTCCCGGCAGCAGCGGCACTAACACTCTCGCTGACCACTTCAACGACCCTGAGGAAGTCGCTCTGAGACGTCTGCAGCCCGCGCTGCCACACCCAGATCCCGCCGCCGATCACAGCGACAAACAGGAGCAAGCGCAATGTGGTGATGACGATAGAGTAGATCCAGCGACTAGCCATACCCAGAATCGATAGCGAGAGGTAGACGATCACGAGGAGGAGGGCGATGTTCATCAGGTCTGGCTGCGAGGTGGCGTACTGCTTTAGGGGGACAACCAGTTGAGTCTTGAGCGATGTCGTGTAGCTCGTGGCGCCGTACGCGATGTTCATGACGTGGAAGAGGATTTCATCCATTTTGTTTGTAAAGGGCTTGGAGAAGTGTGTGGGTATATGAGTTTTTGTGCTTGCTGGTTGAGTTTGAAGCGGTAGCGGTGGGGAGTTGCTTTATATAGGTATGTTTTTTATCTTGTTGGAGGTACGGGGGGGTGTTAGTGGCCTAGCCTCAGGTTACTGGTTGTAGAGGAGAGGGGAATCGGTGAGTGTAGTAGTAGATATTAGAGCGCAAGATGTTCGAGTCTCAATCCAGAGGGAAGAAAGGGTAAGAGATTTAAACAAGCCGAGAACACTCTGGTCAGAGGTGTTGTCGTGTGCTGTTGTGTTGTTGTTTCGTGTGTTTTCAACAGTGGTAGAAGGGAAAAGGGAGAGAAGCAAAAAGAAATAATAACAACGTTGCTTGCTCTGATCGGTTAGGCGGTTAGCCTCCTAAACAGGACTTCCAGCACTTTCAACCCTCAACCAACAATTAGATTGTGCTGGCACGAGACATCACGTTCACAGAGAATCACTCGAAATAGGTGTTAGGATTTCACAGAAGTTTACTATGCATATTTTAACCGCAGCTAACTACTATTTTCCACGACACCATGGCAAGACCCAGAAGTGCGAGATCCAGGGGAAGAATGCAAAGAAGAAGCACTGAAAACCACATACTTGCAACACAGGTAAGAGACCATCTTACGGTATCATTCAGAAAATAGAAAATTAGAGAGCTTCCCCATCGAGCAACTTCTGAGCCCCGTACCTAAGGATTTTCATTAGTATTCAGATTCTCGATGGAAAAGGTATGAACTTGCTTTTTGAGGCGGATTGCCTGGACAGAGATAAATCCAGTAGTATCAACCGGTGCGAACGAGGTACCGATTTCGTCCATGGAACTTTCAGCCATGTCGTAAAGTTTGCTGGTCTCACTGCTCCTTCCAAGAATAATTAAGGAGCCCTTGTAGGCACGACAACGAACCTTTCCATTAACAGTTTTCTGGGAAGAGGCGATGGAATCCTCGAGGAATTCACGTTCTGGAGAGAAGTAAAGTCCATTGTACAAGATCTTGGAATAGTTGAAGGTAACGAACTGATCCCTGAGGGCTCTGATCTCCTTGTCAAGGACAAGGCCTTCCAAGTCTACATGGGCAGAACGGAGAATGGTCAAGCCGGGAGTCTCGTAGCATCCACGGGATTTCAATCCTATGAAACGGTTCTCGACAATGTCAATCCTTCCAATGCCATGTCTGCGGGCTATGGCATTGGCCACCAAAAAGAGATCCAAAGGCTCAGTGACTACCTTGCCCCCTTCATACTCGAGCTTCGAAGGAAGTCCCTTCTCGAAATGAATAGTGAAATCCTCTGGAATATCGGGGGCATCGAGAGGATCAATTGTCAATTTCCAAAGATCCTTCGGAGCAGTCTCATCAGGATCCTCAAGAATACCAGCTTCGTAAGAACAGTGGGCAAGGTTTTCGTCCATGGACCAGGGCTTGGCCTTGGTTTGAGAGACAGGAACGCCAACCTCCGCGGCATAGGAAAGCAGGTCATTCCGGCCAGCGAATCTGTTGTAAAACTCAGGAAGACGCCACGGCGCAATAACCCTGATGTCTGGCTTCAGGGCATAAAACGCAAGCTCAAAACGGACTTGATCGTTCCCTTTGCCGGTACACCCGTGAGAAACAAGGGTGCATCCCTCCTTCTCAGCAACAGCAATTTGTCCACGGGCAATGACGGGCCTGGCGAGAGAAGTTCCTATTGATGGTCAGCGTTAAATAGTCCGTAAGAATAGTCGAGAAGCTGTAGTGGGAAATAACGTACCCAAAAGGTAAACATTCTCGTAAATTGCGTTGCATTGGATGGCAGGATAACAGAGTTTCTCAACGAACTCTTTGCTAAGGTCAACAACGTGGACAGAGGAGGCTCCAATTTTTAAGGCCTTTTCCTTTGCCGCTTCAAAGTCCTCCTCTTGACCGATGTCGGCCACTGGATCACACAGGGTTAGGCATTTGGGTAAGCCGTTAATAAGTAACCAAGCATGGATATTTACTGAAACAGACAACTTCGTAACCCTTTTCCAGAAGCCAAGCTGTAATTTTAGTTAGCAAGTGAAAAGTGTGAGGTCTCAATTGGAGCAATACCGAGGATACACGAAGTGTCAAGCCCACCACTACCAAGATTGAGTCAGTGGGTGAAAAACTGAGATCAAAATACCATTTTTCTTATCCAATTGATTGTAACAGAACTGGGGCTACTGCTACTCCTCTGGGGGAAACAAATAACCCGAATTTGGTAATTACTCACGAGTATGCAAGGCAAACCTATAGAATGTCAATGGCTATCAACAAAATCAATTTAAAGCGAGAACCAAACAAAGGTAAAAAGAAGGGGAAAACGAGAAGGGGATATGAAGAAAAAGTTGTGGAAAGTTAGAGAAACTAACTGAGGAAGCAAGAGTGACATAGCTGAGAGCCAAGATAGCAGTGATAAGAAATCGGACAAGCATAGCAATGGCCAACAATAAATATGGGCGACATGAGAGTATCCCATAGGGCAGTAGAAGATGAAGAGAGATAGCATTAGGGATTGTGACTGTAGGCATACCTTTTCTTTGCCCATGATGGCGGTAGCGGCGTTTGTTGATGCGGGGTGTGCAGAGAAAGTCCGTTACGAAGGGTTACAAAGGAGTGAGGGAGGAACTGAGGAAAAGGGGTTGGCGGGAGGTGGGTGGATGTCAAGGAGTGGGAAGAGGGGGGAAGGGGGAGTAGGGGGAAGGTAGAAGAGTGGAGGGTAGGTGAGATCCAGGGAGGGCTATCCAAGAGGTTGAGGGGCAGGTAAAGAAAAAAAAACACTTTGGTGGGGCAAGAATCATACTCGAGTAGTATCTTACTTGTAGTTTCCACCCCGCTGCGGGTCAAACACTACGAATCAGATCCAAACCCTCGAACGCGCCAGAGGTAGAGAGGGATGGGGAAAAACTTTTTTGCACAATTACTTATTCTCTAACGAGGCGGCAAGCGACATGATGCTTAATCTGACATGCAAGAGGCAACATTTTCAACTCGCATTCAACCCATTTCCCGTTCCCTGTGTGCCTGTTATTTTATTGGCTCATTTTGCACGGTCATGTGAATACTTGGTCAATTGGATAAATGCGATCTACAAAGAAGGTACATTTATCGTAGAGCGATCGATTAAATAAAGCCCACTGCCAAATAAAGCTGCTAATAGCAGTATCATACAAAAAGAAATAAAAGATGAGGGATGCTGGGAAAACCAAAGACAATAGCAATTCCCTTTAAACGCGGTCAAACCAACAAACCAATAGCTCGAAGCCTATTCAAAGACGCGAAACAATATCTAGTTGTTGGTATTCTCGACTTTTTGAAGTTGCAACCCCACACTTAAGCCTCCTCTTCAGCAGGCAATTCCTCCTCGTAAACTTCACCCTCATCATCAGAGACGGTGGCATCTTGGTACTGCTGGTACTCGGAAACCAAATCGTTCATGTTGGATTCAGCTTCAGTAAATTCCCTGTAAGTCCTTATCAGCACGTGACCAAACAGATGGGGACAGCAGTGATGAGCAAAACCTACATTTCGTCCATTCCCTCGCCAGTGTACCAATGCAAGAAAGCCTTACGCCTAAACATTACAGTGAACTGGTCGCCAATACGCTTGAAAAGCTCCTGAATGCTGGTGGAGTTTCCAATGAAGGTAGAGCTCATCTTCAATCCCTTGGGAGGAATTGAGCATAGGGCGGTGAGGACATTGTTAGGAATCCATTCAACAAAGTATGATGAATTCTTGTTCTGTACATTATGCATTTGATCTTCAACCTCCTTCATGGAAACCTTTCCACGGCTATTTGTTTGTAATAGTTAGCTTCGGTTTCTGGTCGTTTGAATAGGGGGAATGCTCACAAGATAGCAGCGCAGGTGAGGTAACGGCCATTGCGGAAGTCGGATGCAGCCATCATGTTCTTCGGGTCATACATTTGTTGCGTAAGTTCGGGAACGCTGACGGCACGGAAGGAGTGGGCACCACGAGATGTGAGAGGCGCAAATCCAACCATGAAGAAGTGGAGACGTGGGAAAGGAACCATGTTGACAGCCAATTTGCGGAGGTCAGAATTAAGCTGTCCAGGGAACCGGAGAGAGGTTGAAACACCAGACATGACGGCAGAGACTAAATGGTTGAGATCCCCGTAGGAAGGAGCTGAGAGTTTGAGGGTACGCATGCAGATATCGTACAGGGCCTCATTATCAATACAGAATGTCTCATCGGAGTTCTCCACTGTCCCCCACGGTCAGTACTTGCCCAGCTTAAACAAATGCTTCTGGCCCTTACCAAGCTGGTGTATCGACAGGGTGGCATTGTATGGCTCAACAACGGTGTCGGAAACCTTAGGCGAAGGAACGACAGAGAAAGTGGCCATCATCCTGTCGGGGAACTCTTCACGAATCTTAGAGATCAAGAGCGTTCCCATACCGGCACCGGTGCCACCACCAAGCGAGTGAGTAATCTGAAATCCTTGCAGACAGTCGCAGCCTTCGGCCTCACGACGAACAACATCCAATACTTGATCGACGAGTTCAGCACCCTCGGTGTAATGGCCCTTGGCCCAATTGTTACCGGCACCAGATTGTCCAAAGACAAAGTTGTCTGGCCTAAAGAGGTTTCCAAAGGGGCCAGATCGAACAGCATCCATGGTGCCGGGTTCCAAGTCGACCAACACAGCACGGGGAACGTATTTGTTTCCAGAAGCCTAGTTGCACATTAATGAGAAAGATGCGACCGAAATTGAAAATACATTATCATACACCAACCTCATTGAAGTAGACATTCATACGCTCGAGCTGCAGGTCACTCGTCCCGTTGTAGCTGGTAAATGTTTTAGAACATCACTGGTCATATACCATGAATTGGAAGCAAGCGGTAACTTACACGCCTGACCCATCGAGTCCATGTTCTCCACTGATCGTTTGCCTACAATCATAAAAAAATTTCGGGTAAGAAATCTCTTTTGGCAGGTAAAGCTTGATAAAGCCAACATGAATCCATACCAGAAAGCAGCACCGATCTGATTGCCGCACTGACCAGTCTGCAAGTGAACGATTTCGCGCATTCTGGTTCTGTAGAATATTTAAAGAATCATTAGTCGCACAAGGATAACCGATAGCTGATTGTTGACGACGACTAGGGTAGTGCTGGAGCAACCTGAGACGCGTCTCCCGGAGGGGCAGGCAATGGAAACTTACGACTATAAAGGGGTAATCGATTCGTGAATCGGACGAATAAACGTAAAATTGATATTTGTGGATAGAAGGCAGTCTAGTGTTGAGATGAGGGAAGGAAAGAAGAAGAGGAGAAGGGCAAGGAACGGAGGGAAAGGGGGGGTTGTTGTGAGTTAAGAACTTGCCCTCTGCCAACACCACGCTGGCAAACTATCGCCAATCAGGGAAGGCGCAGGGTTCTGCTAGCCGCACCACGCACGGGGTGCTTGGAGAGTTCACTCCCGTCTCACGCATGCCTTGCTGACCGCCAAATGAATTGGGAAACGTGAGGATGAGCTTGTAGGAACAGCGATGGTCACCTTAATTAATTGTATGGGAGATATCATACAAGAGCTTTCTATTGTACGATAAATGGCAACGTCGGATCGGCCTCGCGGAGACAACGAGGTGGACGGACTAGCTTAACTAGATCCCTCGAATAGTAGTACGGTGCAGTACTGTACCAATTACCCCGGTCTACTAAGCATCGTATGGGGTAATGATTGAGTGGAGTATTCCATCATGCCCGGGCTCTGTGTACGGCTTTTCATACGCTGATTGCTTAGTACTGTTGCTTGTTCGCTGTTTTGTATGTTTACAAGTACCAATATTTGAGGTGCTTCTATTCTAATGTGGTTGTTGAATTTTTTTTTTATCGGCGCTCGTGCAGTGGTCACAAGGATTAGCTACTATCCGCCGAATGTCGGTAAGTTAGTCGTGTTCTGTTGCCCCCCCCCCCACTGTACTGTACCTGTACTAGTACCTTACTCTACGGTACACCTCAACAATTCCCAAAACGTACCAAAACGTCTAGCAGAAATTACCATAATAGTAACACTGCTCTACTTGCACTGTACGCACCGTTAGCACCGCAGGCCAAACCGCAGCCATAACAGCCATGTTTAAGCCTTGCGAGGTTGCTTACCCGCAGCGAGGAGCCTAGTTTATAGAATTAGAATGACTAGCCGACGGTTTACCCCCGTCTTGTGCCTGCGCGGCCGACTCAAAGTCACTCACCTAGGCTCAGGAATTGATAAGTATGCTAATCACTGAAAAACATTATTATTGAGGACCTTACGGACAGGGGGGATTGTTGAATTTAATTGTATGTAATAAATGGTTGGACAACCTCCACACCTACGATGTAGACGGTCTAATGGACGAGTGATTGCGCATGTATAACTTCTCGCATTCTAGCGACGGGTCTTGAGCTGTTCAGTTTATTGAAAATAATAATAACCAAAAGCCCTGAATTAGGTTTATAGTCCTGTCAAGTCAGAATGAAGGTTGTCATATCATATGCGGATATGATACTCATCAGAAATAGAAACGGGTTTCCCTCCCCAACCCGCAAATCATAATAGAGCCCTAATTTTCTTTTTGTAATATCATACCGGTGAGGATACGCCAAGCAGAGTTCTCTACAACTGTTGCAACCCAGCCTCAGTTCTTCACTTTCACCAACCATCATCACCAACCTCACCTTACACAAACCTCAGAATTTTCCAAAGCCGCAACATGTTTACCATTAAATCTCTCCTGTGGGTTCTTATAGGTTTTAACCAAGCTTTCGCCGTGTCTTGGGATCCGGATATGGACCCTATTTGCAAGACAAATCAAGGCTCGTTGATCTATCCAAGCCCGTCCATAGCTGATGGATACACCTACCAATTATTGACAAACCAGCTGAATCGTCCAAGAGATATTATCTTCGATACCAATGGGAATCTCCTCGTTTCTGGTGATCCGGATGGGATCTTCGTTGTGAGAACCAGAGAGGTCGGGCGTGGGTGTATTGTCTATGATGAGAAAACTCTTCTTGGTGGTACATCCGGATTGAAGCTAAATCATGGCCTGGCTCTTTCTAAGGATGGGGGAACACTGTAAGTATATTCTCTGACATTTTTTCTCTTTCCTTTTTTGTTGAAAAAAATAAAAATAGAAAAATTAACACACTAAATTTGGATGGTTTCAAACAGTTTTGCGAGTTCTCCAGACATTGCCTATTCGTGGAAATACGATCCAAGAATCCCATCCATAGACAGCTCTTCGAGAAGAAAAATTGTTACCGGAATGAACTCCGAGGGCCATATCACCCGTACACTGCTTACCAGCAAATTATACTCGGATATCCTCTTAGTCTCTAGAGGTTCTGATGGGAATCTGGACATGGATGCTAAGCACCTTCCTAAAGGGAAGTGCATGATTAAAGCATTCAGTCTCTCGAAAACGGAGGAACAGGATTTTTCAACACAGGGCAGCCTACTCGGATGGGGCCTTCGCAATTCTGTGGGAATGGGAGAGGATAGCCGTGGAGGTCTCTGGGCTGTGGAGAATTCAGCTGACGACCTCCAAAGGGAAGGGATTGACATTCACCAGAACAATCCGGCTGAGGAATTAAATTTTCTTGGGAACCTCAAGGAGACGGCTTTCAAGGAGGGTTATGTTGCGCCAAATTATGGTAGGCCCCTATGATACGATGTCGAATACTGACTGACTTGTATTGTTCAGGATATCCTTACTGCTTTACCACCTGGGATCCAAGGGATATCAAGAACCCAACTTATGATATCGGTGTTGGTGACCAGTTCGCTCTGGTCATGAACGATAGCTTCACAGATTCAACGTGTCGTGACAAGTTTCAGCCCCCCCGTCTGAGTTTCCAGGCACACATGGCACCTCTGGATGTCAAATTTCATCCTCATACCGGGAATGCCTGGATCTCGTTCCATGGGAGTTGGAATAGGAATGTGCCCATCGGGTACGTGATCTCAGTAGTGGAGTTTCAGGGCAGCGAGCCAAAGGCGCCCAGGAATTCGGACAACTCTATAAAAAACATCATGTGGAATGGTGATACCGCTGCCTGCCCGGGTAAGTGCTTCAGGTGAGTAGAAATTTTCGCAAAACACCTTTAGCTGCTACTAAAGAGAATTCACAGACCAGTTGGTTTCGCTTTTGATACCGCAGGGCGAATCTGGGTAACTTCCGATTCAACAGGCGAGATATACATCATCACACCGTCTCACTCATCCCTGTCCGAGTCGCCTTCTCGCAACGACACCTCAGGCTCGGACACATACTCCAATTTCAGTAGGAGGCACTCGGCGGCTGCTACCCTCGTCCATGGTGGTGTTTCCCTCACCCGGATTACGGTTGGAGTAGCGGTTATCTGTGTCTTGTTGTTGGGAGGAAGGATTGCATTGTTTTAATGGGGATCCCGTAGAAAATGAATAAAATTTAATCAATCCATTAAATTTCAAAACATTCCATTCCGTCGCATTGTTCCCCCTACTTGAAATCTTATTTTATTTTTATCCTGGAGGAGAAGGATTGTCGATCTCCCACTTTGTCCCCTCTATTACAGTGGATTCGAAGGATTTTTGGATTGGTGGGTAAGGGTTTCGGCCTGACAACCGAGATTGTGGGCACGGATCCATTCCTTTAGTGATATGGTACCTCATGTTAGAGCTAGCACTTTAATTCCCCCCTCGAGCTTCTTGCCTATATAGATAACCACTATATACTGCTTATGCGTGGTTGCTCTATACCTGGCCAGCAGTGAGTCCATCGGGGCATTGACAGTGGGGTTGGTCTGGTCGAATGGTTGCTATGCATAGCGTATAGCGTATTAGGGCACATACCGGTCCGGCCTACTATATTTTAGGGTCCACAGCGGTTGAAGAACAAAGGAGGCCCTTCAGCTCTAGGTTTGAAGATCTCCATCCAAATTAGCGGTTACCCGGTATTTTAGCTTTTGCCCTGTGCGTTGTTCCCAGATGTCGATACCCGCCTTTGTTTAGGTTCCCGGGCTATCGACAACACTAGGAGGAGGAGGAATTCCTTTGAACACCTTCGTGTACAACCCAGGGTTCTGCATGGGTGAGGCAAGGCAGCATCGATGGTATAAACACATCATAGGGCACTGGTCTTGCAGGGATAGCCGATTTATCGCGGGAAGTCGCCGAGTGATAGTTTGTGATTCTTAACTTACGATGCTGGGCTCAAAAGGGGGGAAGGAGATGAAAACTGAAGTGGTGGGGCGCCATGTCGAATATGATACCGGCAATGCCGATTCCGTCAACTTTTAGAAGGTCAAGGCTTCAGACTCAAGTCCCTTCCTTGCCTAATCTCGCCCCGAGGAAATGCCATTCATGTGGATCCTCTCCCGGGCATAACTTTATCAAGAAAGGAAGAAGGAAGTATTGGCAGGAGTAGTATCATAGCTTGCGAACAGAAACCTTAATCAGATCATGGGCTAGGGCGCAGTGGTCCACCACTCACATGGTGAGTTAGCTCTCAAACTATTCGAACTGCCTAAAATGCCATTTCGGCCTATAGTCCGAAGGGGTTAGTTAACAAATAACGATTTTCGATAAGCTTATATCGCAACACATTAAGATTGTGATGCCTCCTGTGCGGTGAAACGGTTGCCTCAGCTGGGCCGAGGTGATGCGGGGAATGCCCGCTGATTTTCCATTCGGGATCGGTATTAGTCATCGATCTCGCATCCCCGGGATGTTGACCCTTCATCCTTGGAAGGGGGAGCATACGGAGGCCCCAGCTTGCCTTTGGTAAATAGCGCGGGGCCGAACTATTTGGGAATTGGAATACAAGTACAATAGGCTAAACACATGAGCTAGTAGTTGCTCTCTAGTTGGGGATGCGGGGGGTAATCTGGGGATGTGGAATGTGCTAGCGGTGGTTTAACATACGGGAGCCTACCGTACCGTGCTAGCGGGATTCTGCTCCGGCGTACGCATTACTCGTATGTTTGGGTCTCTCCCCAAGAGAATGGTTGGCCTGTGAACTTTTCAGGTTCTGCTCAGGAAATTTATACAGAGAGTGGACTAAGCTAGACGGTATTAGGATTGAAATTGGAGCAAGCTAAACTGGTTGGAGGTATTGGAAAAGCAGGGGGGGGGGATGTTTCGCTAGCTGAATGTAGGAAGCTTGAGGATTAGGTTGATGAAGCTAGCCATATTTTGAATGTTTATGACATATATATTTTCTGTCCTGCTAAATTATCTCTGCACTAACTGAGCTTTCAGTGAACGCGATAGAAAAAAGTTTCTACAATTGTCACTCATCCCTACCTAATCCATACCGTTTCTCTGCTTGTAGAAACGTGGTGTGCACTAAGGAGCAGGATCTCGCAACTGTCACCGCTACTATTACGTGTACGGTAAAGCGGGCCGGCGCGTGCGAAATCAGCGGGAGAGTTAAGGTTTTTTTTGGGAAGATTCCATCTGAAACGGTAAACACTTGCTTGCTTAATATACGAGAGTGGCGCTAATGAATGGATTTGGAACTTCAGGCTGGCTTCTGCAGAGGAGGCCTTGCATCGGGAGGGGTGCTTGGGGGAAGTCGGAAGTTAATGTCCACTGTGCGCACTGACCTTTTGGGGTAAAGCTACTCGTAGGATTCCAAATTATTGAGGAGAAGCAGTGGCAAGTCCCTACTCCTTGTGGTCACGAAGAGGTGGCGGGATCCTCGTACTTGTACTTGTACTCGTACTTGTATACACGGAACAAATGGCGTTTAATTTACCCCCTCTGATGGCGATTCAGCAAAGATCCTTGAACGGAAAGGGTATGATACCTATCCCACTATCTAACTCTAACTCATTGGTGCTCGGCTGCTGCTTTGGCGCTACTGATGGCCAGATTACACGCAGTAAGCCGGCAAAGTTTACTTTTGGTGGTGGATTGCGGCACCGGGGTCGTGAGTTCTTTCTAGGATTTCAAAGATGGGCTGCTTAATTCGTGAAGCGGTTGTAACCGGCTTCCGACGTCATGGCCACCTATTACACCATTTGTGGATGTTATTTTAGTCGGGGATAGCCCCGATCCGCCAGGAAGGATTTGTGTGGAGAGGAAATGGGGCGGTGCCGCTTACTGCCGTGCTTCTGCATGAAGTGCCTGAAGTTCTGTGCATTTGAGGCATGACATAGTCTACTCGAGTACATGAGAACCAGTACCCTACCTTTTCACAAGAAGTCGAAATACCTGTTGATCCGTCGATCATGATATTACTCCATAATGTCTCTATCCACGTTCCCTAAAATATTCATGGAATACCACTCACCTCCTTACCTCCCAGAGCGTTAGAGTTCAATATCAGGGTCGTCAAGGTAAGCTTCTCCCCAAGTTAGCAAATTCTAGCGTCGCATTGTCTGACCTCGGCTAGCGTGTCCAAACTCTGCTCGAGCACCAGAAGCTGGGGCGCTTAACACACCCCTCCTTTTCTGCAAGAACCGACAACCTGCGCCCACGGTACTTGCACTTGTACCACACCGAAAATAAAATCAAGTGCTTCTCGACTTTACTCGAGCACTGGGTCATCTGTATTTTTACTTACTACGAGTGCTATTACACACAATTCGCCAATCTGGACCTCCGTTGATAACACTTCGGGGGAATGATTGCGAGCACGGATTGAAGGGAAAAGGAACATCAGCCGCACCAGGAATCATGTACCTGAATTGAATCGGATGACTGAGCTCATGCGTGCTGCAGACGGCTTAGCAGGAGCATCTCTCGGACAGAAGGGAAGAAAGAGGAAAAGAAAAAAGAGGCACCACAATAATACCGTACACAATAATATTATATCATATCCAAGTGTCTGATTGGGGCGGGAGAAAGAGGAAGCAGAGCGGAAGTACCGAAGATTCGCCCCCCCTCCCTGATCGGTGCTCCCTTTGGTCTATTTGTGCCACTATAACTAAGACATCTAAAATGGAAGGAAAAAAGAAAAGGCATAATAAACTAATACCCTACCATCCGCCCTTTCGGACGCCCTACGTTTCGTCTCCTTTGTTCCTGTTCGTCCACCCGTGTGCGTGTGTTTGGATACGCTCGTACTCGTCCGAGCTCTGAGCTTGAGCTTGTATTTTTCTTGGTACTATTGCCATTATTACTCCTACTATCCCGCTCCTTTTAATACTTGGGGATTCCTCTATTGTGTTGGACCGTGTCCACTCCATTGCTGGCAACAAATAAGGTTGCATTCTCTATTTTAAAGATAAAAGAAAGAACTCTCTTTTTCGGGAAAGGTTGCGACACACTCCTTCTCCAATCATCAAGCGTTATCTCTGGAAAAGATGCCAAAGCTCAACATTTCCCCACCCTCATTACTGTTCTTCCTCTCCATCATTCTCCTCCTCAACCCGACATTCACCGTCGCGCTCATTACCCAAGAGACCGGCGATGTAGACGAAGAAAAGCAGGGCCAGGCCGTCGTGTCAGCCGAGACCAACGATACACCGTCCCACGGGTCTCCTCCCCCCCCGGGGCCAAACCCCGCACAGACCGGACCAAAATCCATAATCCCAGGCTGGGACGATAGCTTAGCCATAGCCTTCATCGTCGGCGGCATTTCCCTTATTATGGTCATTCCCATGTTTGTCTATATCTGGCGCAGGCGGAGACGTCTACGACGAGCGAGGGTGCCGCCTCGAAGCCTAGATAAGGTCGCGTTGGTCAACAGGAAGGGGTCTTTGGCCTCCGTTGATGAAGAGGAATCTCCGCTACCGTCGCCACGGGGAAAGCTTGAGAGGAGGGGGACTGGAGTCAGTTTTGCTTCAGAGGTCACAATTATGGATGAGATCCCGAAGCCGCAGCCGGTTTTTCACGCTATGTGAAGTGTCTCGATTATGAGAGGGGAGGTAGTACCTGGATGGTTGGATATGAATTGATCGGGATATGGATGGACGAATGGGGCGACAGTTTGCAGCAACACATTCCTTTTACTAAATTCTCTTGTATTTATTAACGTTTATCCCCGATGTTTATTTTACTGCGGGCATCATCGGTGGACTGGGCCGTGAGGTGGCCCGAACAGACATTCGCTCCTTCTTTCATTGACTCTTTCCTCGAGGCATCCTTATGACTTGGTAGCCGTAACACACATTACGCGGGAGGAGGAATCGGGGAAATAAAATGTGCCCCATGTAACAAGACGCGTCTCATAATAGGAACACAAAATCATTATCACTTCCCACATTGGATAAGCTATATCGTCACCAGCGTTGATAACGATGTTATACGGTACGACTAGTACTCGTACTAGTACAGTACTCGGGGTAGGGGTGTAGCATCGGGACAAGCAGGGATATGCGCAAGTATTGTCTGCACAAATGTCTGTATTAACAACAAAAGGAAAGGAGAGTAGGAGGATTGTTCCATAGCTATCCTCAAAGCTCACTAGTTCTTCCTAGTCCTGTAACTATGATATTAAAAACAGTGGTCTGGCTTTATTGACCATCAGAAAGTGGGTAATACTAGCCTATGCAATGGCATATAACTCTTCTTTCTGAACAAGATACACGGACGTTTAACACCCTGGTTTGTCCTAATACTTTACCCCTACCTAGAGTACGTACAGTACAGTGTCACGCTTCGCAATCCCGAACGACTAAAATCCGAAAGAAAAAATATCCGGTACGGGGTGATCCGGGACAACGAATTCAAGTTTCGGTGCGAATTTTTTTTTGAATTCGAAGAGTTTCATACTCGACAACGAGGCATCCGTATCATCGAATTGGGGGACAGCCAACTGATAATAATGTGGTTACGGTACTCCACACCTCAGTTACCCTAAAGTGCACAACTCGATACGAAAACGAACTCCCCCCCCCTCCTTCCCCAATACAATACTCCAAACCTTAACAGACCCTAGGTTCGACCTGCCACCACCTCTAAGAAACTATTTTAATTTTAATTCCACTCTTTATCCCCTATCCATGTAAAGATCCGTGCTCATAAAACCTTAATCTTACCTCCGTTTCAAGGCCGCAGATTACTTCATGCGAAGTGGTGGGATCCTGCCGTTCGGGTTACATGTTACTTGTACCAGTAAGGATGCCCGTCCGTCGCACCGAGCTTATCGTGGCCGAGCGGTCTTCGGGGAAGGGGTTGTCCCCCCGACAACGGAAGGTGGAGTACCATACGGTTGTGACATATTCAATCGTTGTCCGTGCATTTTGCACCCACAATGAAGTTACGGTATTCACTAGACTTAGTGCTGTTTTATTCGCTCAATGAAATATTTGGTTATTATGGCGCGTATATGGAGCCTGTGTGAATTTTCCAGGGGGGGGAAATTTTTTAGATGGAGTATTTCTTTTGTATGAGCTGCCTATTCTTGTGATAGGTCCCAGGAGCTTATTTTGAGTTTCCGGACCTCCTCCACCTGAGTGATTCCATGGCAGTGCTAAATATTAATCCTTGGATTCTCGGTTGCTTGAATGTGTAACCCATTGGGAACTCCTGAGGGGTTTGGTTAGCATAGTGGACTCGAGCTGCTCGTGTCCGTCTATTTTCGCCAGCTTTTCTGTGGTCCCGTTGTGTTGCGTCCGGGTACTGCACTGCACTATGGGCGATCAATGATCGACCATGTCCGGGAACTACACAAGGGCGAGGAATTTGGCCATGGTACAAGTATAGTTGCTGCCCCTGTAGTACTGTACAGCAGCAGGGATAGTTGTCATTTTTCTGGACAGAATGTTGGGTCAAAAACACAAGTCGGGGCAAGCAGAATGGGTGTATTGAAAGATTAATTGGCGATGTTTCCACTAGTGTACCGTTGAAATCGAGTTGGCATCCCTGGGGGCGCACAATGCCTAAACGCCTGACCCTTGTGCAGTACTCGAGTACGGGTAGACTGGCTAATCAGGGGTGAATACTTTCCATTGGTAGATCTTAGTATTAATAGGAAACCAACCTGTAATGGGGAGGGGAAATGGAGGGAGGATATGAGTCTGGTTCTCTATCTGAGGTTGACGCGCGGTATATATAAGTCAAATACTTGCTTTTGGGCCGTTGGTTCGTATATCGTACACTGTAGTCGACGAGACTCAGGTGGTGCGACGCGCCAGTAAGTTTGCCCGGTGAAGAATAGACGAGTGATGGGACGTGATGCTATATTTAGAGGGTGAAGGCTACACACTTGGGGGGGCGAGATATGGAGACCCTTTACCATATTACGCCCTCTTTAGATATATGATATATCTCGCTAGGCAGGCTCCAATCATTTTGGGGCAAGAAGAGGAGCGGGGGGTCAGTCTTGGGCCCTGATGGTGCTGATTCGGGCACTGTACTCGTACTTTATGCCTTATGGAGAATTAGGGAAGTGGTTGCCTTTCAGGATTGTTGGGATCGCCTGAGAAAAACATCTATCCTGGAACCTACATATTGCACACAAATAGATGAGCACCTATAGGGAGTATTGGCAACCTCGGTCAGGGTTTCCATATCACACTCAGGGACTGTTGCACTACCCTTTTGAATATCAGCCTCCAAAGCAAAATCAAATACACCAACTGCTCTCTATCCAGGTCAATGGCAGGACAGTATCTCGTATCCTGATAATGCTCAGTCTGGTAAAGTGCCAAACGAAAACCTTCCGTCCGAAATGTGGTTTTAGGCCAAATTTAGAGAGAAAAGGGCATTTTCGGAGGTGGCCCCGGGCGCCGCATTGTTGAGAACAATTGGAATTTTGACACCGGCTAGGAGGTTACCTCACATTCAACCCGCAGAAGCGCAAAAGATAATAATAATAATATCGAGGCCATGGCTTATGATACGATAGTATCGCCTGTTGTGAATGTGCCTTAAAAACTTTTTGTACGGGACTCGGGAGAAAAATGTATGATGTCAGACACCGGAATCACATACCTCCCGCTCAACCGACATTCTGTACGTGGTTTTGTACTTTTTGGGGGGGGCTGATAAAGGTTTATATCTTATCTAGGGGTCCGATGGCGTAGGTTGATATTTGAGTAGTTTCTCATATGCATTCATGCTATCTGAGCAGGGGATCCATCTTGTGCAGAATGGCCATCTGCCAGAAATGAATAGATCCACGGTAGCACGATACAGGTAATGTCCTCGTTCAAGAACGTAGCCACTCCTGCCTCCCCACTGTTCATGGTCCCACCAACCTATCCCGTCTTGTATATCCGACAAAACTAAACTTGTTACGATAGAATATCCACTTCGTACCCGCCTGTCTAGCCGTCTACCGCTAGGTCTAAGAATTGTTGCTGGAAACCAGTCGTACCTGTTTTCAAAAGTATGATATTCGGAAACCAGCCAATAGCTTGAGGGCAAAGCAAAGGCACTATTTCATATATTATGCACTAGGGGGTTGACAAAGGTTACCTTAGCTTGGAGAAGGCTATAGCAGCTGGGCCTCACACGACTAATCTGTGACCGTGCATAACTGGGCATCCACAGACCCAACAACACTTGAAGCTAGGCTCAAAATACAGAGTATTTTTTTTTTGCTCTCTCCTTTCCCCCCTTACACAATACTTCTGTATCCTATTCCATAAGACAAATCAACATCCCTTAATCAGACATGTCTCCCTATCTATTCAAGCTTCTTAAAGCCATATTCAGTTTACTTTCTCCCCTTTTTTCATTTGAATTTAGGTCTTGAATATCAGTAGTTTATTGATTTGCCACCCGTATTTCCCTATTCCAACTCATATATTTATACTTATATGAGTATAACAATAAGTATCAGCTAATATTAATATTAAAGATTAATAATTCTGACTACTAAAATCATTTCTTTTAAGAGATTAGTATGTTTCTCTTTCTCTTTATACTTATCATATTATTATAGGACTCATATTAAATGTTGTAGTAGGTTGGGAAACAAAGATACTCTCAGTAGATGGTATATTAGTAATAATTATTCCTGTGTTAGAGGTATGGGCAGAGTATCCTGATACAGGTAGGGAGGATTCTACATCCCATGTGTCCTGTACATCTGGTACTTAGATGCCAGGTCTGCTTGTATCCTGTACATCCTGTACCTTACTGCTAAGTCTAGTTGTATCCAATATTTGAGTACCAAGTCTGGTTATATCCTGTATGTCCTGTATGTCCTGTACCTAGGAGCTAAGTCTAGTTGCATCTGATACCTAGGTGCTAAGTCTAGTTGTGTCCAGTGTATCCTAAATAAACAATGCTGAGTTATTACAATCCTGAGATTCTGAGTGATTATAATTTTAGTTGCCAGCTACTTTCTCTTTACTATCCCCCTGCAGCTTCTACCCTATCAGGTTCCCCCTACCAGGTCCCTCCTACCAGGTTCCCCCTACCATCTCCCCTCTACCACCTCTTTCCTACCCCCTCCCCCTTCACCTCCCCTAGATTCTGGACCTAGTTGTTTTTACTAACTCTGCTAGTTAGTAAGATTCTAGTTAAGTACAAACTTTGATATCAGATTCCTTAGATATCCCTAAGGTGTAGCAGCTGATACTTAGTACTGTAATTGCACTAGATGCCAGCTTTTTAATGGTATATTGGATGTCTACTTGGCACCAACATTAGTAGAGTTACAGCCTGTTATATGAGTAGTGCCTACCTAAGTAAAATTGTAGTAAAGTGTTGACTTTGACACTAGATTTCTCAGGTAAGCTCATGGTATAGTAGCTAATACTCAATACTCTAATTCCACTTAATACCAGCTTTCTAACTATGTATTGAACATCTACTCATTACCAATATTGGTTGAGTTATAGTCTGTTGTAGGAGTAGTATTTATTCTGGTAAAGTGCTGATTTTAACACAGAATTATGCAGACATCCCTTGGGCACTATAGTTGATATTCCACACCCTGGTTCTACTTGATACCAGCTTTCGAACGGTATATTGAACATCTACCTGGCGTCAGGATTGGTAGAGATACAGTCTATTATAGAAGTGGTATTTACCCTAACAGGGTTCTGATACAGTACTAACTTTGATACCAGATTCTGTGGGTGTCTCTTAGTCACAGCAGCTAATACTTGGTATTATGATTTTACCTGATATCAGCTTTCTAATGGTGTATTGAACATCTACCTAGCAACAGTATTGATAGAGATATAGTCTGTTATAAAAGTGATCTTTATCCTAGTAGAGTTTTGACTGAGTGCTGACTTTGACATCAGATTCCATGGGCCTCTCTTAGACACAGCAGGCAATACTCAGCATCTGG